ATATCGAGGCAATACGCACAGTATGTACATATGCCAATTAGAGACTGACCAGTTGCAGTCCTAAAACATCGATGGAAAGATTCAATCAAACAATACCAAGTGAATATAAGCAAGTTTAGTTGAAAATTTAAATATTTATATCTGTGTATAAGATAATATTTCCGTTCATTATTTTCACTTTTATTTTACTTCTAATAAGAATCAGTTATAGAACAAAAGTTTCAGTAGTATTAATCCATTAGCAAGTTGAGTTTAATCATGTTCTTTAAATAAATCAGACAAATAAAAATGGTGTAAATATTTATTCTCATTGTTTTGGATTTAACTCTGTGATTGAGGGTAATATGTCAAATTGTTTAAAGTAAATCATGTGTTAAAACTGGTTTTGTTACTATATGCTGACGTTTATTTGTGTTTTCAGAATGCAAAACTACAAACTATTTGATTACTTACTTACTTACGCCTATTACTACTAATGGATAATAAGCCGCCGATCAGCATTCTCCGACCCACTCTGTTCTGGGCCTTCCTTTCTAGTTCTATCCAGCTGTTGTTCATTCTACTCATGTCTGTTTCCATTCCTCGGCGTAATGAGTTCTTTGGTCTTCCTCTTCTCCTTTGGCCATCAGGATTCCATATGAGGTTTTGCCTTGTGACGCAGTTGGGTGCTTTCCTCAATAGCTGTACTACCCACTTCCAGTGCTTCTTCCTCATTTCTTCCTCCAATGGATGGAATCTGGTTTGTTCTCTCTCACAGTGGGTTGTTGGTGGTAGTGTCTGGCCAACGGATCCGAAGTATATTGTGTAAACAACTGTTGATAAACACTTGTATCTTCTGGATGATGGCTTTTGTAGTTCTCCACGTCTCCACCCCATACAGTAGAATTGTTTTGACATTTGTATTGAAAATTCTGACTTTATTGTTGGTTGATAATTGTTTTGAGTTCCAGATGTTCCTCAATTGTAGATATGCTGCTTTTGTTTTGCCAATCCGCGCCTTCACATCAGCATCTGATCCACTATGTTGGTCAACGATGCTTCCCAGATATGTAAAGGTTTTCACATCTTCCAAAGCTTCTCCGTCAAGTGCAATCCGATTGGTACATGCTGTATTCTATCGGAAAGTCTTGCTTTTCCTTTTGTTTATATTGAGACCTACTGCTGCTGAGGCTGCTGATACACTGGTCGTTTTCTCCTGCATTTGTTGTTACGTGTGTGATAAAAAAGCAAAATCATCTGCAAAGTCTAAATCGTCAAGCTGCATCCTATCTGTCCACTGTATTCCACGCTTTCCTCCAGCTGTTGACGTCTTCATGATTCAGTCGATCAGCAGGAGAAAGAGAAAGGGTGAGAGTAAGCAACCTTGTGCATTATTTGGTAATGACCAGTAATCAGAGTTTTACTCACCTACTTAAATAATTCGAAACATGTGATGCAGTGGATTGTGATGTCACAAATAAATAACATCATCCGATTGTCAAAATTTGATTCGCGATCCAACATTAACTATGCTGAAACAGAATATTCACTTCAGAAGTGCTAATGAGTGCAATGATCGCTTGTCGAACATCGCAAGTCCGATAAGCATGCCTAATCAACGCACAGGTGACGTACAGAATTAGTCTATTCACTAGTGTAGATTCTACTCCTACTCTGCATATAAGACTAAATAAACAAACAGACATAGATAGGTGGATGGAAACACGCACACATAAATGAATACAAAACTGAAACACCTACTCAGTGGTCAACCGACGATCTTAGTCTATTACGCATTGTTCTGCTGGCTGTACATTCATACAAGATCTAAAGTAATCCTCACTTTCTTTGTACAAGTTTAAAAAGCTCCAACTCTACATACATCTTCGAATCTATCTTTAAGTCTCTCACCTATAGATTGGTCAAACTATCACACAAAACTTTCACAATGTTACTCCAACTAATCACCTATTCCACAATGAAATTCATGAGACTCACTGTGCTAGTTAAAGATAGCACAACTAAATGATTATGTAGCAGTGGACATAGCCAACATAGTTTGCATTGTTTAGTATGATTATTTTTAGTGCGTCATATTTTCCTTGTACTACATTATTACACATTTTCAGGAATTATATTGCTGCCATACAAATAATGGGTTTTCAGTTTAAATCTTTTCGGAATATGTCACTGTTAGTCTACCCTTTATTTTTCTTCCGTTTTTTCTTTCATGTGTATGTGTTGTGGTGGGTATTTTTATTTGGACTTTACGGTACTTCCATATGCATGCATGTATTTTTTGTGAGGTGCGGGGACGAAAACACACATTCATATATTGGATTTCGACACAAATTCAGAATATCGAACTGGTCGACTATATGAACACATTTATCACTCGAGTAAATCTGCATTTTCTAGATTTATCTGTTATGTTTTGTGATATATTGTCATACCATAGGCAGGACAAATCTTGATAATCCCAAACTATCATTTTACGACAGAGCAGGTGTTCATCCAACGTGCAACATAATCAAATTTTAGAGTTATCCCAGTCTATCTCCAAAGCGCGCTTATTAGATACGTGTCTTTCTAACGATTGTTGTTATTATTCTCGACACAATAACTACGATATATCTTTATCTGTATCATCACATTTACCGATCACTTTCATTTTATGGACTAAAGATCTCCACTTCTTGCGTAACTTACTCCTTAATGTTCGGACTTTAAATGCAACTGTTGACCCAGTATTTCAGTATTCAAGGCAATAGACAGGAACATCACTATTTCAAGATTTATAACATCGAATAATTTAATTATAATCTTTACCAATATCTTCTAATATAATGTTCATTGTATCACGATATTGACTAAAGTATAACTCAGGGAGTCTAAAGAGGAGGTGACAAAGAAATAGTATGCTTAAGTGTGCTTGATTTGTAAATTTGCGTTTTGTGGATGTAACCTTGCCTTCACTCATTTATTTCATCTCTGTGAGCTGGTTGTTGCCATCTTGTGTCTAAATTTAGCATGAATGCTTCCACTTACTGAATCCTATATTTCGTTGATTGTTCGATATCTCCTAACGTTGTAATTATCGTTCACATGATTACTGCGATCGTATTTCATCTGTGGGCCAAATGTTATGGGACGAGACTACTTGTGATTATTCTCAAACTGTTTAACAAAGTTATACTCTTCAAATTATGAAAAAACTGGTGAAAGACTGAGTTGTGATGACATAGCCGGTATTCATTTGGATAGTAAACACATTGACCACATTTCATCTCAAACTCAGTATTCTTCCGCAACACTGACAGAAAAACATATTTGCATTCACTATTTGTAGTGAACTTCTGGAATAGTTGAATAATTCGTGTGTCTGTATAGTTGTGTGAACGACGGTGGTAGCATGGTAAATAAGACAAATCTATGGGAATAGTTAACATGAAATTATATTATAATGAGTTCTTGTTAATATTCGGAATTAAAAAAGTTAATAATAACAAAGACTAATTACAAAATAAGTCTATGTTAGTTACCTTCACAAACCGTAGTGAAGTGAAACGTACAGTGAGTTTCGCTAGCTTACATGAAAACTGAGGATGTTGTGCGACATTCTGTATAGTATCACAGTTACCTTCGAGGTTTTGCTCACATATTAGTAATGCTAAGATGTGTCAATGTATGTTATGGATGAGTGACGATAGTTGGAATGATGTCACCACTTTCAAATATCTAATTAGAAATCGCGCATTACTTGACGACTTTGTTACTGAGTGGAATAGCTACATTCTATAGCTCTGTGACACGCAAGACAACAGCATATAGCTGATAATTGTTGGTCAAACATGACTTATTATTTCAACTTCAATCGATTATGAATTGAGACGCTAACAAATATGGTTCAGCAATGAAGCTAGTTAAGGAGTGAAATTTCAATGGTGACAAATCGTCAACGATACAAAAATTGATTCCCATGTAGTGTTTTGAGTGTTACTTGTCTTCAGTTACTGTGTAGTATCGGTTGCTATGTCAAGCCCACATAGCTTATTCTGGCTTCTGGACAAGTCAATTTATCCATTCTTCTTGAGTCATATTTTGACCTTGTCAATTAATCGCTTAGTAATCTTGACTGTTTTTATGTAAGCGTATGCATCTGCATTTCTTATCTTATTCATCACTTGCCTATAACTTATATTTATCTGACTATAAATGCCGATGAACGCTTAATGAAATTGAGTTGGATTACATGCCCTCTCCACCGTACGACGTTTCGCCTAGACCTCTTCTCTTTCTTCGATTCGTCCCTTCGATCGTTTATCCGGATCAACGATTATATGAAATATACGTATTCGAGATTCAATCTTATATTTGACTTGATTAATTCCGTTATTCACTAACACCAATTAAGTCGATAATTGTATGAGAGGATTTGCGAAATATGTAATTCAATGACTATCATTCATATGATCTGACTGGACTTAGATCTAGGACCACTAAAACTGTATATCAAGTTTAAAAGAAAGGAAAATGAAATTGACGAAATTTCATTGAAACCGTTTATCGAAACGATTATCAAATGACATAAATTATAGAATTTATACTGATCCCCATGATAAGGGATTGTGACTTTGATCATTTTCATATATCATCTATAATAAACAAAATCATGGATTTTAGTAAAATCAAGCAAAATGATCACAGTTACAAAATGCTTGTTATTTTCTGTAAATTAAGTCAAAAGAATGAAGTTGTATATCTGTTATACGACTAATAATAGTCAAGGAATATTCCGTCACTTAGATTGTGACTAATAGTGGAATTCACGAATCGAATTTTGTTTACTTTCACTGCATCATTTGAATATATTTACTTCATATTGTTGATGCTTATGGTGAAACGTGAACTTATTATCTACAGTTTCAATGGTAATTCATTCACTCAACGGACATGAAAGCAAATATATTAGTTTAAATCTCATTGTTTTACATTGAAGTCTAATATTGTACAATTACCTTTTACATTTCATGTTTTATACACCTGGGTCCTTTGAAAGTGTTATGGAATCTCTTCACCAATTTTCTAAATGAACAAATTAGTTAATTCATAATACGATATGAAATTAACTCACGGTTTACTCTGTTTAGTTTTCTTGACAAAATCAAATATAAGTCCATGTTCGACTGAAATGGTTGTAAATAAGCATTGAGTTATTCATTGTAAGTTGTTATAATTAATGTAATCTCATTAAATCATCTGACGGAGTCCTTAAATGTTACTTGTACACTCTGCTATTTCATTTGGTCCACAATGTACGTTTATTATTTATTTATTTAAACACATAAATAGTGGTGCAAACGGGCATCCGATACATATGCGCCACACAGATCTCATTTTATTTGTAATACTGATGTGTAATACTGCCAAGTTACTCAAAACGAAGAAGGACAATATACGTTAAGTAAATTGAATTACAATATGCAGTTTGTATAAATACTTATATACTACTGTAAGTTTAATGAATGTACTATTCAATAAAGAGCATTTAGTTTACCAAATGAAATTTTGTTGAATATTACTTACATAAATGTTCGTTGTAACGACCCAAAATCTGTATTCTTTTTACAGCCATAATAGTTAAAGACGCAATATCTGGAATATATGAAAACATGTATATATACTATTGAAATCATACACAAATACTGGGATAATATTGCTATTAGTGAACTAATTCACTTTGTTGTCAACAAGTTACCAGTATATGTTAAAATGATTTACGAAATAACAAACTGTGACAAATACATTATTTGATTATATCCATATGTGAACCGGTTATAGTTCGAGTAAATAGGATACTAGATAAATCTTATGACTTCCGGTTACTTACTTACTTACTTACGCCTGTTACTCCCAATGAAGCATAGTCCGCCGACAAGCATAAATGTTTTCTGGTTAGCGTTATTTTTTAGCGAGTTGGTTTTCTACGGGATGGAGCCCAACCCTCCCCCTTACCCGAGCTTGGAAACGGCAGTAGCCCCCGGACGAGCTACAGGCGGCTCTCTGAGCTAAGATCATGTGATTAAATCTTATGAGAAATAACTTTTATTTGTTAACCATGTAATATGTGTCCTTGTCAATCTCATAACTTTATCAGTTTCCTTATATTTCTGTGTATCTGCACATACACTTTCATATCTATTCATTATACTCAATGAAAAGATATATAAACTGAGTATCAAATCCATTCTGTGATTCGGTTATTAGTCAGCATTCATTTATTCATCTTACTTAAATATGATTTGCATACTGAGATGTATGACTGGCAAATAAGTATCCTCGAAATAGTTCGTATCAGACTTTAAAAATATCACGGCATTGAATTCAGAGTGTTATATTTCATTCCAGTCAACAGTCTATCATAATATTCAGCTTCTTTGTGGTCTTTGATGACAACAATTTCTGTATCAAGTGCAAAGATACCTCTTCATAGCTCGTATCAAGTCAATTGAACTGGTAGCTGTATTTCAGCCTCATAAAAATATTTAATGTTGGTTTGATTTAGTGAAACGTCTGTTTAAGTAAATTATTATTCTTATCGGAATAGGGTTTTGTGGAGATTTTAGTAGTTTCATATAGTTTAGATCATGGGTGGATTGAAGCTGGACCACCAGGGAAAACCTGGAAGCACTGGACGGCCGTTTCGTCCTATTGTGGGATTCCTCAGAAGTGAGCATCCACGATCCCACCTCGCGAGATTCAAACCCACGACTTACCAATCTTGCGCCAGAGCACTTAACCGATAAACCACTGAGCAGACCGGCATCCAACGGTGTTAATGTCTAACTTCAACCAATACACGAAATTGAGCAACAATTCAACAATGTTTTCAGTGAGTTGATATCTCACAACAGACCTGTTTGTACTCCACATTTTTACTGCCGTATTGTTTAGTCATTACTTGAAGAAAAACTTTTGAAAATAAGCTTCCATGTGCAATTACAATTGTGACTTGTGAAATAGTTAATTGGGTAGTTAACTTGATCTTACCAAAGTGATCTCTTGGTTCGGGGCTTTTACAAGACTTTTTGTCGTTCTCAGACGCCAATGCTACATAATTGCAAAAAATTTATAAAGTAAGCTGCTTTCTACAAGCTATTTAAAATTTGTTTACAAAACAGATTGGTATGGATTATGGACATTCAAACTCAACTGCCATTCATGTACATATAAATACAAGATTTTTAAATGTGAATAAGCTGTAACCTCAGATGTCGTAATTGCTCACAATAATGAATTTTGTTGCCAGACACAACAAAATGAAAATCCGTTAACAAACGATTCCAACTGTGAATACAATTATTATTACTGCGACTCTCGAAATAAAGATCACTTTTAAGAAGACGAACATTATCAGAACTATGTGATGATATATTAGCGTAATACATTTCGAACAATCTGATAACGCATATAGTTGTTTAGATCATTTATATATAAAAATAAATCGTCAACTAGACTCGAGATGGTGGGGGGGGGGTAAGTGGAGACATGGGTAATAATAATGATAATAATAATAATGAAAATGTGAAAACAATTTGAAACCTAATCACTCTCGATAATGTGCTAATATTACCAGGGTGGGTTTAAGGTGAGAACAAACTACTTTTAAATACACAAAGGGGTTTGAATTTTGTATGGCTAAGGCTTCAAAAAACCTTGATAGACGCCTTTTTACACTTTTATACAACACCGCAAAAGCCGAGTTAAGATCAATCTTATGATCTGTTTCGATTGTATGTTTAGCAATAAAGGATGATGGATGTTTATCCTCTACTCTTATCGGGTCATTGGATTCTATTTATTTCTGCAACCATTTGGGTATATGTTCATACACCCTAATTTTGAGATCACGATTGCTCCTCTCTATGTATGTGTGACCACACACATATTGAAATTGGTAAACACAGTGGGATGTGACACAATCATTTTCATGTCTTTTAGGTTTTAGATGAAGCATGAACCTCGTTCTTTCTTTCTTATCAAAGGGACTAATTACTTTAAGTAACTCTTAAGATTTAGAATATGCTAGACATTTGTTAATTCAACTCATACTACTCATGTTCATCTGAGTATTACATCATATTTTAGTAAGTAGATGAACAAGTAATTGAAATCCTTCTTATTTGAGTTACATGGTAACAATAGATTATGCAAATTAGTCATGTTAAATAGACTTTTGAAACATTTAACTAAATAGTTTTAAATATTTACTCTTACCGTTAGTGGCGGATTTTTTCTCGACAAAACATTGATAGAATGTTGAAGATTTTGAAACTTTGACGCCTAAATTGAATATAATCAATTAATAAATATAGTGTTGTGACGGCTACTTATATCCGTATAAGTAGTATGTATCGGTGGTCGGGCATTGAATGTATTTAAGTAGAATATCGATAAGAAGAGAACGGGAATTGGTATGAAAACTCATGAACAAAAATAATCAATGACGGTATGTGATGATATTTGCAAAAGGAACAGTCAAGATTGAGACAATTGATTGATAGTTTGCATATTAACAATTGACTATATGGTTCTCATATTTTAATGAGATATTCTGTAATTTTGTGCCTAAGTACTTTCAGCTGTCTCTACTCGTGTTCCTGTTCACTACAATAGATCATCCTGACCCCATCATAATACAAATTTACACAAATAACCTTCTCAATTAAATACACTAAATATTTAAATCGAAATAAATTTCATTCAACATTACATAATTATGTTAATGTTAATACACATTTAATAGATTATAAATACTTAAATCATTTGGTATTGTTTTCTTGTATCAACCCACTGTACAAGCAGTTGGTTATCAAGACTTAGTAAATAAGTGAATAACACAATGATGTTTGAATCGTATTGTATTGGATTCAAGTCCTGGAGTAAACATCAACTCAGTGATGCAGGTACATCCACCTGACGAGTTCCAAGTAGGACGTAACGGATGTCCTAGCATCAATTGTTGGTCTTCATTCAAACAATATTGTCTTTCGGTAATACATTATTTATTTATTAATTAAAAAAGCGTACTGTATTTGTTTTCCACTAATTCAACTAATTGATCCAAACCTAAAACATTTTAATTAAAAAATTGGTTTTACCATTTCATATTTTTACCATATAATTCACTTATGCAATCAGTAATTATATGTAATTGATACTCAAATTGTGTAAATGTTTGGAACTATTTTAATTATTTCCCATTTAAGAAAATTTATCAGATTGGGTTTTGTGGATATTATAGTAATTTCAATAGTTCACATCATGAGTAAATTGAAGATAGACCACTGTGGAAAACCTGAAAGCACTGGACGGCTGTTTCGTCCTATTGTGGAACTGCTCTGCAGTGAGTATCCACGATGCGGCCTCACGAGATTAGAATCCAGGACCTATCAGTCTCGTGCACGAACACTTTACATCTAGGCCACTGAGCTGGCATCCAACGGTGTTAATGTCTCACTTCAACCGATCCACGGAATTGAGCGACACATCCTCCATTGTCTTCAGTGTGTTACTATCTGACAAAAGACAGTCATCCAGTGCTTCCAGGTTTTCCACGGTGGTCAAGCTTCAATTGACTCATGATCTCAACTATTGAAAATATTTTATTAACTTTGAATAAAACAACAGTACAATAGATTTTATCAGAATTTCCAAGTATTAGCTAATGAGTGAATGAAAGATATGTCTATCTACTAATTTGAGACTATCCAATTTGATATACTTGAATGTATATAAATTAAGTAGAATTTACTACAGATAATAGATTCACAGAATATAACAAAAAATCTGACAATTATCAGACCACCATTGAAAACGTGGAAGCAATCGACAAACGTTTCATCGTAGTATAGGAAAACTTAATAGTACATATCTACGATCCTGCATGCAGGATTCTAACCCAGGAGCTTCGATCTGGCAGGTGAACTCTTAACCTCCACACCAATGAGCTGGCATCTAATGGAAATAATGTCTAACTTCAGTCATTAAATGAAGTTGCACGACTAAATCAAAAGTAAAATACTTATTTTTATTTAAAAATGATATATGAACAATATTTAGAAAATATTTTCTATACCTCGTACAACATTACTTGTGAAAGTAAGTTTTGTTAAAAAATCTAAACAATTGACATCTAAAGTTCATCGTTATTATTATTATTAGAGTACTAATTGTATATTCACATACATTCAGTGTATACTTCTCTTTGATTTGGAAGTATTCCAACAAGTTTATCTAAAATTTAATATAATATAAAACATATTAGAACTGGTCACTATAGAATATCATTGTTATTGCATAATGATTTTACGATAATGAGTCAATTCAAGCTAGACCACCATGGGAAACCTGGAAACACTAGACGGCCGTATCGTCAAATTGTGGGATTCCTCAGCAGTGGACATCCACGATCCCGCATCGCGAGATATGAACCCAAAACCTATCAGTCTCGCAAATGAAATAAACTTTCTTGATAAACATTGTTCAGTTTATTGATTACAGTCTCCCACATTCATAGTCACTTTTTGACTTGATCTTGTACAAATGTTATCTCTTACTTTATGATGTAATGCAGTCTGTTTGGCTGTTATATAAACCAAGTATGTTTGGAATAAATTATTGGTATGGTGCATACTGTTATTGATGTTCTGAACTCAATTGGACTGACTAGGCGAACAAGGGATCAACAAGGACGCTAGACTGCTTATTCCGGTCGAACGTTATTGGTTTGGCACAGTACCGAGATTGAATAAGTCGTATTTTGATTGGAGAATAAATCACGTGATAACTATCCAGACCTAAAGTCACAATACTACTGATATTCTGCGTGTCAAAATTAAAATGTTATTAATGGAAATCAGCTTGTCAGGTAAAAGTTATTTGTATACGAAATTATGAATAAATTACCTATTTGTTTCTTTATGTCTTCCTTAGCATTGCGTAGATCCAATTCGTCTATCCGTAAAATATCTACAAATTAAATGTAGGTTCATCTTGACACCTTGATCAATTACTTCTGGTTAAAGTGTATCAGTTTAGATACTTGCTTTCAATCCCATTTCATTTGACATGAAACATATTTATGGAACATATGTTGAAATGATATCAGTTGAGTGACTAGCTTAGGGGATTCATTTATTCTGACCCATTTATTTTCCTATTTATCTGTTGTAAATATGTATATGTATATTTATCGTGTACTTTAGAAAATTCTCCCGATTTGGAACATAACAGTTGTTCTGTATTCATTTACATTGTTCTATACATTCCATAATGAATGTGGATGTCAGGCTTTTTGACTGACCTATCATTTCACATTTAGCTGTCTCCACAAAATTACATAATGATACATACCCAGCTTGACTGTTTGTATTTCGAATACAAATCGAATCCTTAGAGGGGTAAGTCAGGTAGGTGATTTAAGAGTGTTGTCAAACATGAAGACTAAACTGCATAACTTAGATAGGTATACAACCATAATTCACTGATTAAGTCGTTTAGTTATGTATTTGATCAAAATACATTTATTAATTTCCTGTCAAAATACGAACAAAATCATTTGATCACTATCCTGATTCAAAAGTGCATTCAGCATGTAACTTTATGTGTTAGTAACGACGTCTATTGATATATGTTGTTCTGTCCACTCACAAGAACCACATAAATTTTAAACACATTTAACAGTCTATTATTCAATTACCTATTAGGCTTTTTAAAGTGTTCTCAGCCATTTTCAAATCATTTAGCCCCTGTTTTGTATCATCTAAAAAATTGAACATAAATAAGATTATTTGAAAATATGAATATTTGAATTCGGAGACATGGTTGCATATTAAAAGGGCTATTCTTTACTTTCATCTTAATCTCTATGAAATTTAGGTGGAGAACTCAGGTTTGAATAATGTTAATCAAGTAGTATATTGTGGACTTTGGAGATCACCTAATAAACCATGTACTAGTTACATGTAAATTGCATTAATACAACTAAGTACTTTGAGATGATGGAGAAGATTGTAGCTCAGGTGGATGATTATGATGAAGTTTTATTCTCTGAGGTGGATGGTACTCAATACTATCAACTGTGTTCACATACTCCCCACTAATATTCACCTGTTATTTTACATTCATCAATACGTTAATCAATATATTCATATGTATATCCAAAATTAATCGTCACAGAAACACGATAGCAGCTCACATGCAATTGCGTTTGTTCACATTTAATTTGGTTAAGCCCTTTCGTTAACCTATTTAACGAACAGAGTCATACCGACAGTAACAACTCATCTATACCATTGTACCTTTATTATTGTTTGGCTTGTATGAATATGTATGCTTGAGCATACATTCATTTTGACTCGCGAACTCGCACGCTGGCTCGCTCTCTCGCTTGCCTTACGGCATTAGCCTTTCACTCTTGTTTCGCGTGTCTGTGGTTTTGGTGATCTAACTGTCGTGCAATAATAAACGCAATCAACACTTCGTACTCGTCTTCTGATTTACACACTGTTGAAGACATTATCTAGTAACGGTTATCACGATGGACTGTTTAAGAAGTTTAAGGATGATATTGAATACCGACCACTACAACACATTCAAATTCATTTCAAAACGAATCATTTACACTTGACAAGAATCATTTTCAACTTAGAAAATTCACTATTTGTATATCCACTATATTTGACTTGAAAAAACATCAAATAAGTCCTTGAACAACGAATCAGCTTTGCCTCTATACAATTCAGGCATTTCTACCGTTATTCATTACCATGAATCTATTGACTGAAAACATGGTTTCTATTCCATCGGTTAAATGAGGAAACTAAAATGTAACTTCTGAATCTTCAGATAGACTATTGTAGCAAGCCCATCCAATTGTTGTATTATTTGTGTATTCTCTGTAATTTAGACATTTCATCGAGTTTGTAAATTTATGTGTGAGTGTGGCTAAGCGCATGTGTCTGTACATCCATCTCTAATCTGTTCTCTCATTGGTTGAAAGCAGAGACAATCAATAATTAATCCACAATCCATTAATAATCATAAATATATAACGATTTTTAACACTCATTGATACACACATACATACTCACTCACTTGTTTTCCCTGTGCGCTTGATATCTGTTCACATGCGGATTTTTACCAAACTTCAACAATAAACTATCTCTATAACTGGTGTTGAGGCTTTTGAGTAATCTCGAGTAAACCCATAATTCTACTTGGGAGATTTAGCCTGCGTTAAATATTCAGTTAACGGGACATTATTTATTTATTGGAGTCAAATATAGAGGAATTAATGGTCTACACTATTTGTAATTAAGTGAAATTTTATGTGAAAGCCATCATCCAGAAGATGCAGGTGTTTATTAACAGTTGTCTATGCAAGATATTTCGGATCCGTTGGCCAGACACTGTCAGTAACATTCTACTGTTGGAGAGAACAAACCAGATTCCATTCAGTGAAGGGAGAAATCAGGAAGAAGCACTGGAAGTGGATAAGACACACATTGAGGAAATCACATAATTGCGTCACAAGACAAGCCCTCACATGGAGTCTTGAAGGCCGAAGGAAAAGAGGAAGACTAAAGTACACATTACGCTGAGAAATGGAGACAGACATGAGAAGAGTGAACAACAAATGGATAGAACTAGATATGAAGCCCCAGGATAGGGTGGATTGGAAAATTCTGGTCGGCGGTCTATGCTCCATTGGGGGTAACAGGAGTCAGTAAGTAAGTAAGTAAATAAGAAACCTTATGTAAAACGTTTAGACAGTAATATTATTCAAAACTGTATCATTTAACACTGATAAACATTCTGCTCAATGATCCTTTTGACATTGTATTATACACTTTATAAATAGCACAATTATGTTAATGTAATCAAATAGTACTTTAAGACTTACCAACTTGTATGAAAACAAGCATCATCAAGAATAACACAGTGATATCATGTGATAACGAATGGAGCATTATTTTTGGCTGAAATGATCGTTTACTTTAGTTATCAGCTTTTATATTATCAGGAATCAGTAATTGTTATGGTATTGTAGTTAATACGGATAAATCTACTGACAAGAAAATATGTGATGATCAAAATGGATAGGCCTATTTAGTTAAAAATAAATCATAAAAATTTTAATTATTACTTCACTACTGAAATGTTCTGCAAAATAACATCTCATTAGTCGAAGTTTGTTTTGTGTTTGGGTGTGTGTATGTTCATTACAATAAAATGTAGTTTTAATAATTAGCAATAAGAAAGAAGTTGACATCTTAGAATTGTAAGTTTTTAATAATGATAATAATTGAAATAAACACTTCATCTATGGTACATAATATTACATATGATTGCAAAATATTGAACTATTACTACTTCAACAAGTATAATGATTCTTGTAAATAGTATCTATTCAGTTAGATAAGTTGTAGTGCCGTGCTTCCTTAATCGTTCACCTTGATAACCGTTATAATACCAATCTTAACGGTGCATAAAATCAGAAGGCGAAGAGAAGTAGAAACTACAGTTTATTGTCAAATAACTCAAGCCAAAAAGCTACCAGCATCTGAGTGAGCGAGCAGCATTCGGGTGAGTAACAAACAATTATATAGGCAATTTATAGTCAAATTTAATAAGGGCACAGCAAAACAAAATAAAAGATGATAATAGGATTTGCGTGTATACATATATGGGGAGGACTGTGAGTCATCGAATGATACTTAAGCAGTCAACATTTCGGCCAGTGTCGTGTCATGGACTGATCAACGAGATGCATCTGAATCCCAGAGTTGATATTCACTCCAGGACTCAAACCTAGTACCGTTGGCTGCAAACGCCATTGTGCTATCCAATTAGCTACTGAGTCCTGTTAGCCACTAGCTTGTGTAATGGAATGAAGTTTGAATTCATCCTTACACGATGCACATATGCCAATAAGAGACTAATCAATTACAGTGCTAAACATCAATGGGAAGATTCAAATAAACAATAGAAAATAAATCTATCCTTTAGTGTAAGATATGTTATTCGCATCAAACTCATATCGTAAATCATCTTAGTTGATTAACACTTTTGATCTAACTTCAAGTAGTCGTATTATTTTTAATTCCTCCCTCATATCCTTTTACTTGTTTAACTTAGTTTGATAGATTGAGTTCGTTTTCTATGGCTTATGTAACTCATGCTGTATGATTACTGATTTCATAGTCTGACATAATCTTATGATATGTTTGAGTATTTTTGTTTCCACTAGATTGTTTGAAAGATACATATTCATTATGACGGTGTTTTTCACAATGCAGATGGTAGAAAACTACTTTACAATTTTTTTGTTTATATTTGTTTATTTATTTATTTGAACACATAAATATTGGTACAAAAGGGCACCAGATATATATGCGCCACACAAATCTCATTTAATTTGCGTGAGGGCTGTGATAGTGCTCAGGTGCCAAACTGGAGCAGGTGGTTTTCTTAGGGGGCCACACCTGGAGCCTTTGACGTAAAGGTCTAATCCACAAGTCAGTGGGGCATCGTAAGCAGATGCAGTCCCATGGTAACCGGTGACCAACTATTGATTCATTCGCCATTTGTTCCCTCAAGATACTGGAGCCCATGTACACCATTGGTTTGGATTCAGGGTTTTCCAACTTCCCTAGGTGGACTCGCCATGTACACCAATCCGGTTAAAGCGCCGGACATTCGATTTTCGTCCTCTCAATTTTGTAAACAACACCCGCGCCACGAGAAGGTAGTGAGTAGGACTTCCCTGGTAGAGGCTAGAGATGCGTGGTCATATGAGAGAATTTCGAGAGGAAGAGCGGACTCTCCCCACTCTCGGCCGTACCGGGGCATTTGGGGCTTTTTGTTTATATATTTTGTTATCATTAGAGTTGTTTAAGTTTTATCTCAGTATTTTCGAAATTCAGTAAATCGTCAGTTATGTATCATACCACATAGTCGATAAATGCCATTTTTCTGATCACTTTCATTCGATCTGGGTTAGTACAGTTCTACTATCTCGTCAAATCGTATTCAGAGATCTAATTCTTTCTTTCTAGATAGAGGCATCAATGTTTACTTTTCGTAGATGTTTGCGAACCGGAAGTAATGACTGTTGATATAATTATTTTCATTTCATGAATGAATGAGTCTAGGAGATCTCTTTCATTTTTCAATTTATTTAGAGGTGAATGAACTTTGTCATTTTGTTAATAATCTAGATCTACTGTGTAGCATGTTGTTTGATTATTCGAACATGATATCCTTGCATTGACCATTTGTACGACATAAAATTGGATTCTTTTTCATTTGATTAATAATTCTTAGAAGAAGTGGCTTACACTGAATAAAGAAACGTCCAAAAATTTAATTTTACGACACATTGCGATAATATAAATATATTACTTAAATTAGTACAAATTTTCAGGTCAATAATAAGAATAGCAACATTTGCAACTATCTTAATTTGATTGTTCCGAAAACCCTGTTGTGAAGTTTCATGTATCTAGGAGACAACTGAACAATATCACTTGTCAACTAATCACTCAGAATCCTAGTTATAATTATCGTTTATTACACGCTTTATATTAGTAATACAGTCCAATGTCCCGGAACTGGTAAACGTTACACCCAAAAAGCACTATTCACCCTAAGTCGATACACCAAAGTTCCTACTAGCTACTTGTTTGCAAACTTCTCTCTATGGTACCTATCACTTTAAGATCGTAATCTGTATTTTGGCAGCTTTCCTTCCTAGTATATTTAGCACAGACCTGTGAGCCAATAAGAAGTGTGTGAAAACTTGGCTATGTGAATGGTACCGAAATAAATTTACATAAGTAAATTTTACAGTTAAGCATAGTTTATGCCGACAATCAAGTAGCTACAAAATTAAATTCACAATTAATTAAAGTAAAATATTTTTTTAATATCTTAATGAGTAGAAAAGTTAATTTTTTGACTTGTCATGACACCATGTAGGCCATTTCTTCAGAGAACAAATAAACAAATTAATTTGACTCAAGTTCAAATGGTGCAAAGAAAAAACAAAGTGAATATATTTATAATGATCCATTAACGAAAAAGGTCTGGTATGAAATTCCGGTCAAGGTGGTTTATGTGAGAAATGCTTGTGTATTTGCGTTTATGTTAGTGGGTGGAAAATGGGACATTTTTAATGTGAATTGTATTGTTGAGTTTACAAACATGCCGATATATTATTACTATTATTATTTAAACACATGAAAGGGGCACAAGATACATATGCGCCAAACAAATCTCATTTGATTTGTGTGAGGGCAGAGATACTACTTAGATGCCAAACTGAAGCAGGTGGTTTTCTTAGGGGGCCACACCTGGAGCCTTTGACCTAAAGATCTGATCCACAAGGCAGTGGGGCATCGTAAGCAGATGCAGTTCCATGGTAGCCGGTGACCAACTATTGATTCATTCGCCATTTGTTCCATCAAGATACTGGAGCCCATGTACACCATTGGTTTGGATTCAGGGTTTTCCAACTTCATTTGTTGATCCATGGTAGCCGGTGACCAACAGTTGGTTCATACGCCATTCGTTACTGCCGGTCCTAAGCCCGGGTGAAGGAGTGGGGTTGGGCATGAGGTTAGCGACCCGATCCCGTAGAAAATCAACTCGCTAAAAAAGCGCTAACCAGAAAAAATCATTCAAACCATTTAAACTCTGCCCTGGGAGTAGAAGGAATAATTATGACGTCTCATGATGAAAGCCGAGTTCATTCGGAAGTCATGAGGCCGATGCACCTTCTTACAACCAGAGCAACAATTTTTATAGGTACATGGAATGTCTGGACAATGTGGGAGACCAGAAGAGTTCTCCAAATTGCTGCAGAAATGAGAAAATACAACCTGGAGGTGCTTGGAATCAGTGAAACGCATTGGACGCAGATTGGACAACAACGACTTACTTCAGGAGAACTTCTGTTATGCTCCGGTCATGAAGAAGAAAACGCCCCACGTACACAAGGAGTTGCATTGAAAATGCAACAAAATGCACTTATTGGATGGGAATCTCATGGACCAAGGATCATCAAAGCCTCCTTCAAAACAAAGAAAGAGGGCATTACAATGAACATCATCCAATGCTATGCGCCTACCAACGACTACGATGAAGACGCTAAAGACCAATTCTACGATAGGCTGCAGTCGATCTTCGAGAAGTGTCCAACCAAGGACCTGACCATTCTGATGGGAGATTTCAATGCCAAGGTTGGAATGGACAACACTGGATACGAAGACGTCATGGGACGACATGGACTGGGAGAAAGGAACGAAAACGGTGAGAGATTTGCAAACCTATGTGCCTTCAATAAACTGGTCATAGGTGGCACCATATTCCCACACAAAAACATACACAAAGCCACTTGGACTTCCCCGGATCACATTACACAGAATCAAATCGACCATATCTGCATCAACAAGGAGTTCAAGAGGACGATGGAGGAAGTGAGAACCAGGAGAGGAGCTGATATAACATCCGATCATCATTTGCTGGTCTCCAAGATGAAACTAAAATTCAAGAAGCACTGGTCAACGGCGCGGACAACATCACAGAAGTTTAATACTTCCTTTTTTCGGGATACTGACAAACTCGACATAGCCCTCAGCAACAGGTTCGGGGCCTTTCATGATCTACTCAATGGTAAGGTAACTACCATGGAGAGCAATCGTTTCAACATGTCAAGAGATTCTGGGCCAAAAGAAACACCATCACAAGGAATGGATCACTGTTGTTACACTGGATAAGATTGAAGAAAGGAGAAACAAGAAGGTAACAATCAACACCAGCCGAACAAAAGCAGAAAAAGCCAAGGCACAAGCAGAATACACAGAAGCAAACAAGCAAGTGAAGAGGAGCATCAGAACCGACACACGTAAATATGTGGAGGATTTAGCGGTGACAGCGGAAAAGGCTGCAAGAGAAGGAAACATGAGAC